TGTGTGTGTGTGTGTGTGTGTGTGTGTGTGTGTGTGTGTGTGTGTGTAAGGGTATAGCTAATGCGTATCTGGATGGACTTTTCTGGTTCCCCCACCTTCCTTAAGCACCATTTTTACTTCACCACTTCTCATCAGCCCAAATGCTGCCCAACCCCAACCTTAGACCAATTCATCTTGTGGGGGCTCAGACTGAAAGGACCAATTTTTACATTATCAACAAAAGCGTGTTCTCTAGCCTTAGCAATCTAATTACCATGGCACTTCCAGGGGAGCGAGATCCGCCTGTTGTTTCAGCTCTGTAGAACTGATTCGGAGGTTGCCCCTTACAGCTCTTGCACACGCCCACGTGGTATGTTATTAAGACTTAACAGTGGAAGAGGTAGTTCTCCCCTCCCTTAGAGCGATATCCTGCAAGGCAATATTTAACATACGCGCAAGTGCATTTTAGTCACAGAAAAAAGGGTGACCAATTACCTTTGCAACTAAACAGCAGGCTCGATAGGCTCTTTTCATCAACCTAAAGAAAAGACTGAGGGCGCGCTGGCTGCCTAGGTAACCTTCTGCCAGGGAACGCTCCCTGGCAGAGCCCACAAGGCGCGCATCTGCATTTACAACTTGGTCCAACGATCCGGCCCGCCTCCCTGACTTACTGAGAGCCACCAACCAAGTTGTGGTGAGGCTTGCTCCCAATGTCTACCAAGCGCGACACACGCGCTTGGCTGGAGTCTTCGGCGAGAGACCCCAGAGGCCACAAATGTCTCACGGTGTGCAAACACGGTTGGCCGGTTTCTCCCGAGCGCACTTCTGAAAAATTAATCTTTTCGAAACCTATTCTTCCTGCCCATATTGTTAGTATAGCAACTCCTCTTAATTGGATTCTAAGGCAGGCGTTAAGAGCCCAACAGCTGGACAGTCTATCACACAAGGCCATGAATATTCATCTGTTGACAGCAGCGGCCCTCGGCTAAGGTTAAACTATGCCCTTACAGGACGGTCTGATTGTTCAGAACAAAAGGCAGACGCTCAGAAACTTTCTTCTGCCTAAAATCTTCTCTTCAGGGTCCAGCCTGTCAAGGCAGATGAATTTAGGAAGGGGAGGAGTTAAATTGTCTTTGGACTCGTGCTCTACAGGCCAGCACCGCCGATTTTTAAAGAGATTTTACCAACCTAGATAAGAGAAGCTGTTTTAAAGGGAAAGGCTCAGTCTCCCACGTTTGGGGGGGACCGTCCTACTCAAAAGTTTCCTTCATGTGTCTTCCCTAGACCCTGCGGACTCAAAGATGTGTGCTTAACTTTGCCTGCACTTGGGCCCGGGCAGCCTCAGTAATCCAGCCTAGGGAAAGGAAGGCATGGGAGACACAAGGTGGAGAAAGTGTGGCCAGATCTGCGGGTCCAGCGAAGGCAGAACGTGCGAGTAAGGGAGATAAATTCCTGGGTCAGCCTCTCCACGTTGTGAAGCCGGTTTGCTAGAGCCAGCTCTCACCTTCCCGCCCTCCCCCAACTGGGAGCTAGAAAGGGATCTCTGCCGTTCCTTGCTCTCTCTGGTTTGCACATTCCCTGACAGCAGCGTGAGCCTGGGGCATGTAGACAGAGTCCACGCATACTCTGCTTCCCTCCGTCGGTAGACGGTCCAGGCCCCAAGCAGAGCGACCATTCCCAGGTACCGGGCAGCAGAGAGCTCGGCAGCCCTGGCCCCTCCTGGCTACCGCGCTCTGGGATGAGCCACCGCGCGCGCCCTGGCTTCCCACTGTGCACGGAAAATACTCAAGGGACCCCTACTCACCTGGCACAGGGGTTTCCGGAACCCATTTGAGTCCGGGCTGCAGTCTCTGGAAGAAAGAGCGGACCTGGTGACAGGTGGCGTCTGGAGGTGGCGGGGGTTGCGCCTGTCCCAGGCACCCCATGCCGAGCAGCATCGCCACCAGCAAGCACGCGGTGAGCACGGTCCCGGCCATCCTGCTTCTCGGGGGGAGAGAGGAGAGCACGAGAGAGTGGCAAGAAGAGCTGGAGCGGTCCCGGGACTCAGCAAGTCTGGCAGTGGCCCTGCAGAGCAAGAGATGAGCTGCTACCCAGCCGCTGCAAAAGTTTCCTCGCAGCTACCTGGGCGCTGGGTGAGGGCGGGAACCGCTTGGCGGCGCGGGGCTGCCCTGGGCGGAGCCTTGTAGGCGTGGCGAGGAGGGACGGGGCGGGGCAAGGCAAGCTGCGCTGCCTTGGGGACTGCGCGGGATCGGGTAGCTGCTGGCCTGAGGGATGCGGGCTGTGAAGGGAACCTTAGCTGGGAGACTGGGTTTACCAAAGCGAGCAAACCTGGCGGGAGAGGCGCCGGAGGAGGATAAGGAGAGTGTGCGGTGGCTCTAGGCAGTCCTGCCCTGCCACTCGCTCGCCGCTGCTCTACACTGGGCGCTCTGGCATAACTGCTGCAGAGGGGCTGCAGGCTCGGGCACGCTGATTGGCTTCCCAGCAGCAGTCCCCTCTGACTGGCTCTACGAGAAGTTCCCCAGCCTCACTCCTCCTTCCTGCCTCCCATCAGCCTACAGCCGAGAGGGCTTTTCCTTTTCGTCTTTTTGCAAGCTCTCCATCCTTCCTTGGAATAGGGTGGTGGTCTATGGTTTAAGTACACACACACTCGCTTGGATACTAGGCCTTCCCCCACCCAAACCCGGCTCCTCCTGGCCACCAGAGCCTACACAGGGCTTTGTAAGCACAAAATCCACCTCCTTATTCTGTTTTCTGATGCTTCCTGGGAACCCTTTCCCAAGGCAGCTCTGGCGGAGCTCTCAAAGCCAACCCACAAACAGTCACATTCAGGAGCAGCTAGAGACTTCTGGATTTCACAGCCTCACTCATCTTTGTACCTAAAAGGTTTGGAGGCCCTTGTAACTGGCTGGGTCTGATTCAATAGAACCACACAAAGTAAGTATGCATACATACAAACATACATACATACATACATATATACATACATACATACACACATATATTTATTTATTTAAGGTACTTGATCCTGATCCCCACTTGAATCATATCGCCTGCAGGATAGTCATGGGCGACCCTCATAAAGCAAAGTGCAGCTGGTGAGAGTAACTCATTAGGAAATCATTTTACAGATTAAATCCATTAAAGCCATGGGTAGTCTGTTTCACACCTGGAGTAGAACCCTCTTTGGAAGGTTTCCTGGATGCCAACTCCCATTTCTTCTACTTAATTCTCACCATTAGAAATGGTAAAAATCAAATACCTCTTTGAGAAGGAAGAGCATGTAATGATTACCTATGCACTACAAAGAAGGAATCATTCCATTGGATTGATTCTCTCTGTGACTCCACTCATCTGCACACACAGAGAACAACCTTAGCCCAGTGTCTTGTATATAGTAGTAACTCAGTATTTCTATGGTGAAATGACTTTTCTATCTCAGTGTAAACTAGTTGCTTGTCTGATTGTGCTCTTTTTTTTTTTTTACTAGACAGAAGTATGCCTGGAGAAATAGAAAGATAAACTAGGTTGGGGGAAAGCGCTTCTGTCTTGAATATGAGGGCTGTGAAGCAAGACAAGGCAATAGGAAGCTCACTGAGGAATTCATTCATTCATGTGTTCATTCAGTAGCAAATATTTGAATTCCTACTATGTGCCAGATTCTGTGGGATACAGAGAGAAAACAGACACACAAAAACCATCCTGTAGTACCTGACCTCAGAGAGTTACAAACCTAATGGGGAGCTAACAAAGCAAAATGTTTGCACATTATGTGTTAAGTGGCAAGATGGAGTTCTAAGGGTTGAGCGCATGGATCAGAGAAAGTGTCCCACAAAAGCTGATGGCCTAAACTCGGACTTGAAAGCCCAGTAGGGGCTGAGGTGAGAAAAGATTGGGGGAAGGGTGCCCAGGCAAGGAAGCAGGGTGAACAAAGAGGAGAGGCCCTGGCATGGCCCATTTGGAGAGTGGGAGGTGCTAGTAATGATTTCAGGCTGAGGAGTTAAAAGAGCTAAGGCAGGAGGGAGAGACAAGCAAGGGCCAGATTATGCAGTCTGGAAGGCTGCAAAGGAGTCTGGGGAACCACTTAAGGAAATTGTAAGCATAGGGGTGACATGATCATATTTGTCTTATTAAAGGATCTCGGCAACAGAGTTTCAGAGAATGGTTTGAAGGGAAAAGATTGGAAGCAAGGAGACCAGTTCTGAGGCTGTGAAACGAATACACTCAAGAAACGATAAAGGCCTGTCTATGATAGGAGTATTGGAAGGGGAAAAATGTCCTAGAGACATTAAGGAGATAGAATTAAAAGCGCATGTCGATCTAGTGCCTGTGGGGATTGGAAGAGAATGAGTCAAGGATGGAGGGCTTTTTCAAACCTCCCCCTCTTTTTTTTTTCAACAAACATTTGAGCGTTGCCTATGTATCTGGCATTCTTCTGCTACTTCATAATTTCGCCTGGGGCTAGGCCTGCGCCTGCATTGAACATTTGACAAATGACATACCCACTTTAAAAGGAACACCAATTACGGGTCCTAATTTGGCTGGTGAGCCTGATATGTTCCACCTGTGGAGCCCTGCGACCAAAGGGCAGATTGGAAGGCCGGCATTGATTGAATGTCATGACCTCGAAGAGGAAGACATGACCTCCCATAAATTCATGATCTTTCAGAGCTCATGCAACCGACTACAAAGGCAACAGTTGTTTGCAACTACTTGGTATTGAGTACCTGGAAAAAAAAAGTGACTGGGCCTCCTTTTTTTAATACGTACTTTTTATATATAACATGCTTTGCTTCCCTAGTGGAGGATGAATCCCTGGATTCAAGTCAATGGACCCATGTACTTGGGTTTAGTGTCAAATACTTTATTTCAGTGGGTTACAAACCATGCACATAACCAGTGCATTCAGCTCGCAAGTTTTGACAAGGCAAGGCAAAAGTACCCAGTTCAGTAAGATATGAGCTAGTTTGAAGATAACCTAAAATAGTATTGGAAATATAAAGATAGAGCAAATTGAGTGTGGGTGTGCCTAAGATTTGAGCTAAGTCAGAGACAGACTTGCTCTGAGGTTTGAGAAATTCTTTCTTAGCCTAGACATTTCTGCTTCCACTCCAAGCACCTACTTCAGCGCTTTTAGCCAAGCAAAGGGAAGAGTTAAAAAAAAAAAAAAAGAATAAGTAAAAAAAAAAAAATCTTGCTTCACTGAAGGAGTGCTTCCATTTTTATAAGTGCCTCTCGAAGGCTTCCAACCTTCTAGTCCTCCAAGTGATGACTCTCACAGTGGAATTTCAGGCCCTGAAATGGATGTTGGGGGATAGGCTTCTTTGTCAGAAACACTTCCAGAAATGTCACAGGCAGCCGTCCCCACTGCTTTGTCAGTGCTGAAAAAAAGTTTACTCCGATAATCTTTAGCCAGGGCCCGGGGAATGTGAAGCACGTAAAGCACTGGCCTAGCTTGCACAAGGACTTGCTCTGCCAAACCAGGAAAGGGGGGGAGGGGAGGAAGGACATTCATATACAATGTGGAGAATCTCTTACATTATCATTCTGTGTGCTACAGAAATGGGTGACTAAGGTTGAGTGTCCTAGCACGAAAAAAAGAGTGTGCTTAGAGTCCCAGCCACTCCTCCCCAGGCTGAGAGAGAAGTACAGAGTTGAGCCCAGGTGTTCAGGACCAGCCAGGGAAACACAGTGAGACCTTGTCTCAAAAACAATAAACAGAAAACGTGTGCATGTGGTGGTGGTGGTGGTGGCAGCGTCGACAAAAATAGTTTTCTCTTTTACATAAGCAACTCTCTTGCCTTATGCATGACAAGCTCCCTTTGTCATGTTGGGTTTTTGTTGTTGTTGTTGTTTTCAGTGATTCCTCGGAATTCTTCAGGGAGAGGAACAGAGAGAAAATCAGTGTGGAGATATAAAAGGGCATGCTGATAGAAACAGTGTTCACTCTTGACAATCACCACTCCGTGCTCTCAGGCCTGCTTGAAAGTGTTTAGATAGCATGGCTGGACCCCTTTTTCTCCTTTGCACCCCAGGGGAAGGCTATCTAGCACAGCAGGCCCAGCAGAACTTTTCTTCACCTTTTGCTCCTGGACTCCAGTTTGAAAGAATTCGAGAATTCCCAGCTGTAGCCAGCAGCTATTAGCTTGCTGTGGCAGGGAAGAGAGTCTGGTTCCATGGCTCCAAAAGCAGCATAAATCAACTTTTCTGGGAGAGGGTTAAGAAAGGGTGTTCAACAGCTGCCGCCATGGAAGGAGCGCATGCACAGTCACTCACAAGGCCACACACGCACACATTATTTGTCTTGGGCCCAGTTCCTTTGCCCCCCCACCCCCCAGGTGATGTTCTCCTTTTTTCAGTCCCTCTCAGGTACATGGTGTCTTCTGCTCTTAACCTCACTCTCAAACTGTCAGGGAAGAAACTTTCAAACTCATCAGATCACTGTGTATCTGGTTGATGGGATATAATGGGGGCTGCCCACCCAGGGGTACAAGTATTTCAACAAGGATCAAAGCTTTAAAACCAAAGGAACAGAGCTCTAAAAACTCTGGAATTCCAGGCATCCGCCAGTGGGAAGGGAGTGTTTAAACTGAGGGGCAATGAGGCCTTTTTTGGTGCACCTGAAATCACATCATGTAGACAGTTGCTTATATGTTAGGCTGCTTGCTGCTAACAGTCAACACGTCCTGGGCCACACCTCTGAGCTAGATGGCACACAGCCACTTTGTCTCCTCTTTTCTTGCACTGTATGAGTCCTTTGTGGAGCAGAGGGAAGGGGAGGCACCAGGCACACTGATCCCAATTCTCCCAAATGTATAAGCTATGATCAGAGGATGAATTATAGTCCTTTGGGAAAGAGTGTTCATTCATCCATCGCAGCCAGCAGGCCAATGTAATGTAAATGGTAACTTTGTAAGTTGAAAGGCTTAAAGTCATTTTGAAAATTGCATAATAATCTCAAGCAGAATTTGGCTCCATGTGTATGGAAAATTAATAGATGTGACTGTGATGCTTGCATTGTGAGTTGTGGATGGCTAGCCTTTCCTCAGACTGGGGACTCTGCTCAGCCCTCAGTAAATCCACAAAGTATACTGAGGTCCTTATAAGTCAGAATCCATGACTTGAAAATAAAAACAGTGTTTTT